AAACAGATTCTGGAGGGAAGATGCCAGCTGCACTCAGCGGTGGGGGTTCCAACTTCAGAGCTTGCTGGATATATGGAAGGTCAACCTCTTCGAGACAGGAGATCAGGCCCACGTTAGGCTCCTCATTTTCACTTTCCGTGGCATTGGCTGGGCGATATCGACCAGCACGTCCGCCGATTTGTTTAATCTCGGGGACAGTAAGCCGTTGAAGTCCAGTCGGGACACGCTTGACGAGGGTGTCAAAGATAACACGTTTGCAGCTCCTATTGTTGGTTAGTATGGAAGCGCAAGTATAGCAAGTGAGCGTAGAACTCACAGGTTGAGACCCATGCCAATCGCATCACTCGCCACGAGGAAGTCATAATCATTATCTGGGTCATTGAACAGATTCGCCTGTTGGGTCCGAATCTCTGCTGGCAGACCACCATAAACGATGGCTGCGCGTCTTCCGGTGGTCTTCTCGATGTCTGCCTTCATGGCGTGTATACCTTTGCGCGAAAAGACGACTATACAATCACCCTTTTCAAGGCTATTAAGATTACCCTTCAAACTGTGCGGCATCACCTCCAAGGCGTTCAGACGTTCGTAGCGGTGGACTTCCAAATTGTCTCCCGTGAGTGCACATAGCTCCCGAATCAAGGGTATGGCGCGGGTTTCACCGCACAGGTGCAGTTCGGCTACCTGGGCACCAAGGAAAGCTCGAGTCCATGCCCATCCTCTTGACGAGTTAGCAATCATTTGGATCTCATCGATCACGCCAACATCGTATTCCTGCCCAAGGCTAACCATTTCCACGGTATTGCTGGTAATACGCGGCACCTGATCATCGTCGGGAAATTTGACATCGTCACCAGTAACGAGACTGCATGGAACCCCATCTGCCTTGAATCGATGATATACTTCTTGCGCGAGCAATCTCAGCGGACCTGCGTAGAACCCATTCTTGCTTTTCGCCAGCCGTTGTAGTGCATGGTAGGTTTTTCCGGAATTCGTCGGCCCGACATGGAGATGGATTGTTCGCTGCATTGATCGCGCACGCGGGTACCACTCGGCTGGCCATCGAAGGTCCGTTACTTCTTGCTGTGCTTCTAATATGGGTGCTGAAAACCTCGCAGTGATGTTTTCCGAATACTGCATGTATTCCACCTCCTCCCGCAGGCCCTGAATTCCAGAAGCGAGGTAGGCCTTTTGCAGCGCTACCTTTGTATGCCGAAGGGGTCCCCATTGTGCAGATGCCTTCTTATCATCTGATTTACAGGCGTTTTTAATTTGGCGCTCGAATTGAGTCCATCCTTCAAGTGAATCGCCTGATTTCTTCAACTTGCCGTATACATCGTGCAGAGTCGCATCCACCAGTTCATTGAAATCTCGTGCGGCCGCAATATCCTGTCGGGCAGACCTTGCGGCCGAAACTCCTCCTTGTGATTTGCCTTTTTTTGTATCTTTCCTATCTTTCCTGTCTGTGAAGATCTCGGGTTTGACCTTTCTTGATCGTTGCAGAATCGAGGTTGTGGTGAAGGGACGTACAGCGAAACGAGCTAAGGGTCGCAAAGTGAGGGAGCGACTAACGCCAGTCCATGGCTGCATTCCTAGACGACGGGGATTCTCCAATCCCGTAGAGAGAGGAACGATTCAAGAACAAAAGAAAGTCCGAAGTCCGTAACAAAGAGAAAGGGTAGAAGATTTAAAGAACAAGGGGACATAAGGAGAGAAACCAAAAAAGTTCCCTTATCGACTTTGATCCACTTTAAAGCTCCAATGGTGGGGAAAACCATCTTCCCTTCATATACCTCAGACGGGGCCACCTCTCCTCCTCCTTGAACTGAACCTCTATTCACTCTTCCTTACTATATCTGTCTGCCTTTTTCTTTTTTTGTACTCTTTCTTTTCTGTTCCAGTCTTGACCCTGAAGCCCCAAGTTGTGGGCTGCCCGCCATCATGGGCTCCTCGATAATTAACATTCAACGCGACTGTGGGTGCCTGCTTCTACTACCTCTTGCAAGAACCCCTGACTGACCTGATACTGTCTGGAATAGTTATACTGAACACAATCCGCAATACCGGCGGCCATGAGGTGAGCCCGACCCCTCCGATCAGCCCCTCTACCGCGGATACTGACGGCAACCCTCCCCCTAATAGTGGAAAGTACTGGTGGTCGATGAGACCAGCAAGAAATTGGTCTACGGCGCTGTGAAGGAGGAGGAAATCCTCAATTTCAATGTTTGCAGTGAGCTCGTTTTGTTCTTTGCGACTCAAGCGATCTCACTAATCACCACCACACCATAGACGTCGAGCAGATCGAACATCGACGACCGTCCAATCCCGATATGGACGCGTTGTACATATTGTCCCCGGAATCGTACGTGATCGACTGTCTAATGGCAGATTTCGAGGTGGGCCGGTACAGAAAGGCATTCTTGGTGTGGACTTCATGTTAGTGGGCTGGTGAACCGGAACCCATCGCGACGTCATTTAGCTCACACAGCTTATAGCCCTCGACCCGCAGCTGCGATCTCGGATTGACCGGTCCCAAATGGCGCGCGAGCGCATTGCGGACTTTTACACTATGAATATCAATTTCTATCCCAGGGAATCACGCTTGGTCACATTCCGGGACCCGTGGAGCTTCCCGATGCTCTTCCACCCGGGTTGCAACAACTTAATTCGGCGTCATTTGGAAGAATTGGCCCAGAAGGTAAGATATACTCTCCGAGAATGTCGATTGGGCTTGCTGACGTTGAATCAAGGTCGTCTCTCTTTGCGCTTCCCTGGGCGAATACCCTGTGATTCGGTACTATCGGCCCCGGTCTCCGACTCACGAAGCCGGAGTTATGTGCTCTCACTTGGCGCGTTTCATTCAAAATGAATTGGATCAGTTTGCGCAACATCAGCGTGACTTCCCGCCCCAAACAAACCGACCCCGAGGCGTACTACTCGTAGTAGACCGTTCCATGGACTTGTTCGCGCCCCTTCTTCACGAGTTTACATACCAGGCCATGGTCCATGATCTTCTTCCTCTCACAGATGGAGACAAGGTCACCTACAAGACGGTTTTAAATCAGGGCAGCAGAAATGAGGAGGTCAAGGAGATGGAGATTGGCGAGAATGACCGAGTCTGGGTGGATTACCGCCATATGCATATGAAGGATGTTCTTGGAAAACTGGGCGAAGACTTTGCCAAATTCCGAGCAGCGAACCCTCAGTTTGCAGACGAGTGAGTTTCAACGGGCCTTCCCCATACCAGAGTCGAAATACTAACTTGAACTTTTTTCAGTAATGACAAATCTAACGTCAACACCATCAAGGATATGTTGGGCGGACTGACAGAATTCCAACAAGGTAAGGACACCTACACGCTGCACCTCAATATGGCACAAGAGTGTATGAACTACTTCCAGTCCCGCAAACTCTTGGAAGTGAGCTCCACCGAGCAGTCATTCGCAACAGGTCTGGATGAGAACTACAAAAAGGCAAAGAACCTAGCAGCGCAACTCGTACAGCTCCTCGATGACGACTCAGTCGTACAACCAGATCGGCTTCGACTCATACTTCTGTACATCATGTATCGTGGTGGATTGCTAGGTGGTGACATTCGCAAACTCATGGCGCACGCTGGACTCCCACCACAAAACGGAGGGGTGATCGCCAACCTCGAACTCCTTGGGGTTCGTGTCGAGAAACCTCTAAAGGATGAAAAACCACCAGCGCAACCTCTTTTCAACCGACGAAACCCACCACCCGAATCAGAGGAGCTCAGCCTAAACCGGTATGAGCTAGCTATCAAGCAGATGCTCGAAGACCAGCTTCAGGGCAATCTGGACCCGACTGTTTTCCCCTTCACGCGTCCGCACACCGAGACGGACGGCGCCATAGCTGCTCAAGAAATGCAGTCACAGCAAGCCTCTTTACGCAGCGCAAAACCGACCTGGGCACGCACAAGATCCGTCGACCAGCCTCGACAACGCATAATCGTATTTGTGGCCGGTGGTGCCACCTACGGCGAGTCACGAGCCTGTCACGAAATCTCAGCGGCATACAACCGGGATGTCTACCTTGCCACAACCCACATGTTGACTCCGAGTCTCTTCCTCCGCCAGGTAGGGGACCTTGGTGTTGACCGGCGTCGTCTAGACCTCCCATACGAGCGCCCCAAACCTACTGCTCCAGCCCATCTCTTCGAGCGCGAGGCCCCTCCAGCTCCTAATCCGCCGCCACAGAAGAAGCCCGTCTCAACAGCACACCTCAACCCGCCAGCTCCGCCAGAGGCACTGATGGCTGGTATGTCAATAAACGGAAATGGAAGCGGAAGCAGCCCTGCCTCATCTGGTAGCGGAAAGCACGACAAGAAGGACAAGAAAGATAAGGACAAGAAAGACAAGGACAAGAAGGACAAGAAGGAGAAAAAATACCGTTTCTTCAAGTAGCATTTGCCTTTTCTATTTCTCTTGGTCCCACCCTGTTTTCTGTGTCCTGCTGTCCCCATCCAGCGCTTTTGTGATACCATTCTTTTCCTTGTCTTTCTGTTGGTCTGGTCTGGTCCCTAGCATTCAAGGCGCTATTGTCAGCGGTTATTTTATTTATTTCCTAAGATGAGTCCTATAAAGACTCAATTCATGGGAATGTGCTCACTGTACTACAATTCATGTTAGGTAGAATCTGGACTCCAGTTTCAACTTAAATGCCTACAAGTAAATATTCAAGTTAAGCACTCAAAACAGAAACAAATGCTGTATCTCTATGAAACTGATATCCATATGAAACCACACATCAAGGATTATACATAGAAAATTCTCTTGCACAAAGTATGCCTTTTTTACAGCCTTCGTGTACATCTAGAAAGAGCATCTAAAAAAGACCAACAAAAAAAGACATGACAAGGCCGCATAAGCCGCCGATTAGGTATCCTTGGAACAAATAAACAACAAATAGGGGTATCATTGAACACAAAAACAAGAAAAAAAAGAACATTCGAAGCATATTCCATCCATGCAACCCACCACCTAAGCCCCCTTCCCGAGATACTTCAAAACCTCATCATTTTGATAAAAAGCCTTCCTCATCTTCTCCGCCTTTTTCTTATCCTCCGCAATCTTATTCCGCACCTGCTTAGCATTAAGCTTCTGCGCCTTCACCGGCGCAGGTCTAGGCGGCAACGGATCTCCATCCCGATCAAGCCCAGTCCCCAGTCCAGCCGTACCATGCTTGGCATGGGGTTTGATAGGTTCGCGGATCCCCTCACGGCCCGATGCGCCAAGCCCAAGTCTGCTATCAGGATCCCAGCCGTAGGTAGAGAGGTATCGGAAACCTGAGCGTGTGCGGTCGAGGTGCGATGGCGGGTGTGAGTGAGCGAGACAGAACTGGTGCACGAGTGAGGCTTCGTGGGGAAGTGGCTTTTTGTCTGTTGTATTTGCTGTGGCTTTGGGGACAGGTACGTGGCACACTTCGCAGTATTCTGTAGTTGCGGGCGCGGGCCCTGTAGGTGGAGGCGGGGGGGTTATGTCTCGAGTTGGTGGCGCGGAGTGTGTGCGGATTGGTGGTGAGGGTGCGCGCTGGGTTGGTGTACTCGGTGATGTACTTGCGGCTGGTTGGCCCATCACAATAGAAAGATATGTGTCTGCGATGCTGGTGCCGGAGGAAGAGGAGGGAGTTGGGGCTGTTGTTGTGTCTAGATTGGAGGAGCGCACGAACTGAACGGGTTTTCGCCGGATGCCGGAGCTGAAGGGGCGTTGTTGCTCCGGTGGGAGGAAATAATCTTCGTCCTCAGAGGTCATGGTTGAGAATGGTAGAGCTCTTTGAAGAGGAGAAAAGGAAGAAGACGGAAAGAAGAACTGGGGGGTGGAGGATACGACCGATTAAATATGCCACCAGACACATAACTCTCTCATTGGTTCATATTGCCAGGCAATAATTTAGATCTCTCACTTCACAGGAACCGTATTGAATCTAACTATAGTTATACAATTAGCGTAGTACTTTATATAGTATTTTTATAAATGAATACTGTTGAGCAAGCTGTTACTATATGGGGAGAAAGTAGAGGAAGAATTATTAATTGATTAAACTAGAAATGTAGGGGGTTATATACCCTGGTAAAACTATCTAAACTCTACTCGATTGTAGCAAATAAGCTAACAAATAGCAAATAACGAACAAATAGGACTTAGTCTATAGCAAATATATATATAGGAGATTGTTTAACGAATACTATATTAATTTTTCAATACCGGGCTCTTTATACTCCTAATTCTTAACTCTTAACTCTTGATTTCTTACTATCTTACTATCTTAGTCTAAACTGAATCTAAACTGAATCTAAATTGAATCTGAACTAAACCTAAATTAAATCTAAATTATATTATATATATTATAATTAGACCTCCGTAAAGCCTATAGATTTAGGCCTACGAAAACCTATAAAAGCCTTTCTATATAACCTTTTAAAATTACCTTATATTTAAGCCCTATTTTTTTATCTTTTATTAAGATAATATTTAGTTATTAAAGAAGTAGAATATATATAGAGATAAATTTATAAATTACCTATTAGATAATCATATAACGCGTTATATAGATAATTTCTAAATTACAGATATTCATTTAGAAAGTAGTAGTACTCTCTTTTCAGTCAAAAATATATATCTGATATCAAGATATCAACCTTACCCTTTTTACTAATTCCCTAACTTCTAGCTGTCGTATATAGTTTAAAATTAGACTATATACTAATATAGCCTCCCTAAATCTATATGTTAAATTTAAACTTTCTATAATAAGTAGAGGGTCGTAATATAGCAATTACAATAGTAGTGACTCCGTAGGTTTTTAGGCGCCAAGACCCCTTGATTGGGCCCGGATAAAATCTGCGGAGGTCTAATTATAATGTATTGTAGAGAGGGTAGTGAAAGAAGGAAGAATTCAAAGTAATAGCTACATATAGGAAGGAAATTGGCAGATCTCTTGGCCACTGTTATATACCATTATAAAGTGTATAGTATAGAAAAATAAAGGAGAAGTTAAAATTAGTAAATGCTTCAAGAAGGCGGTAATGGACTAGGCGGTGAGATAATAACCAATGAGAGGGTTATGTGTCGGGTGGCATATTTGGCGCCCGTAGGAGGAGCGGGATTAAATGGTGGCGATAAGAGATAAGCGGAGATGGGGACGTGTACGTTGGAGAAATCCCTTTGGACACACACCTGTCCTTTCTCTTCCCATCTTCGCATCTCAATTAAATATGCCCATCCCCATCATTGCCCAGGGTCTTCGGGATGGCGTCTCGTCCATCCCGCATGCCTGGACAATCCTCCGCATAGCACCATGGGTGCTAGCCCTGGCGGCACTGAAATACTATTTCGAAGGAGCCCGCAACGGCTCGGAGCGAATGATGCGATCAAAAGTGATAATGGTGACGGTAAGACACCACATCTAACACCACCCCAACCATCCAATTGCCCAATCTAACAAACATCAAAACCATCAGGGCGGAACATCCGGGATAGGCGCAGAAGTCGTCCGCGAGCTCGCAACTCGCGGCGCCCAAGTAATCCTCCTAACCCGCCAACCACCCTCCGACCTCTTCCTCTCCGAATACATCGACGACCTACGCACCAGCACGAAAAACCCCCTCATCTATGCCGAACAAGTCGACCTCTCCTCCCTGCACTCCATCCGCACCTTCGCAACGAAATGGATCGACAACATCCCACCCCGTCGACTTGACGGTGTAATACTCGCGGGTGGCATAGCCGAGCCCTCCGCAGCGCGCACCTTAACAATAGACGGCATCGACCAAGAATGGCAAACAAACTACCTAGCCAACTTCCACCTCCTCAGCATCCTCAGCCCAGCACTGCGCGCACAGCCCGCACACCGCGACGTGCGCGTGATCTTCGCAACATGCTCCAGCTACATCGGCGGCAACTTCAGCAATTTCGAGTCCGTGGCGCGGGGGAAACAGAAGGTTGTCTCGAAACGGACGAAGACTTCCCCTGCTCTGTACGCACAGCCGAAGGGCGTGTACGCGCTCAGCAAACTTGCATTGACTATCTTCGCGCACTCGTTCCAGCGGCATTTGAATTCGTACGAGAGGCCGGATAGTCTGCCGCCTTGCACGCGGGTTATCGTTGTTGATCCCGGTCTCACGCGGACTCCGGGAATGAGGCGGTGGTTGACTGGCGGGTCGTTGTGGGGTCTTGCATTGTACTTGATTACCTGGCCTATTTGGTGGTTGGTGTTTAAGTCGCCTACACAGGGTGCGCAAAGTATTCTGTATGCGGCGATGGAGCAGCAGTATGGACGGGGTGGGGGTGGGTGGTTGATTAAGGAGTGTCGGGAGATGGATTATGCGCGGGCTGATGTGCGGAATGATGAGGTTGGGAAGAAGCTTTGGGAGTTTAGTGGGAAGATGGTTGAAGAGGCGGAGAAGGAGAGTGCTGTTATAAGGGCTTTGGAGAAGAAGGAGGTTAATATTGAGAAGCAGAAGGTTGAGGATGAGAAGGTTAAGAAGGAGGCAGCTGAGAAGAAGGGGAAGAAGGCTGAGGGGTCGAGGAGGAGTCGGAAGGGTCAGAAATAAGTGAAGATATGTGCATGTGTATATCTATTTTTTATATGTAGGTATTGGGTATGATATGATATGATTATATAGATGGAGTTTGAGGGCTATAATTCCACCATAACAAAAAGAGAAACAAGCTCAAAATTATAGACCAAGCATCACCAAAAAAAAAAAGGAAATTCGTTTCATGTATTCTACCAACTAAATCCAGAATTTTAGGATTTCTCTATCAACAAAGGCAAGACTCATTACAAGCCACAGAACACGACTACATCACCCGAAGTAAATTTACTTCTTGAGCTGAGCGACCAGCTCAGCAGGGGGCTCCTGACGGTAACCCTGGGGGTTGTTCTTAGTCCAGAGCCAGAGATCCTCGCAAGCCTGCTCGAGGGTACGCTCAGCCTTCCATCCAAGCTCGGTGTTAGCGCGGGTGGGGTTGGCAGTGAGGTTGAGGACATCACCAGCGCGACGGGGAGCAACCTCGTAGGGCTGGTCCTTTCCGACGGCGGCGGAGAAGGCGCGGACCATCTCGTAGACGGTGCTGCCCTTTCCGGTACCCAAGTTCCAGGCGCGGACACCGGGGTTGTTGGCGCGGAGGTAGTTCAGGGCCTTGAGGTGGCCGTCTGCGAGATCCAGAATGTGGATGTAATCGCGGATGGCGGTTCCGTCGTGGGAATCGTAGTCTAGGGTGAGATGTTAGATTGGGGGGGTTTTGCTAATGAGGGAGGAAGCGGGTGAGGGGAAGGAAGGGTTGCATACCATCACCGAAGACCATCAACTTCTCGCGCTTGCCAGTAGCAACCTGGGCAAGCAGGGGGAGCAGGTTGTAGGGGACACCCTGGGGGTCCTCGCCCATGATACCGCTGGGGTGGGCACCAGCGGGGTTGAAGTAGCGGAGCAGAGCACCGTTCCACTTCTTGGCCTCGGCCTCGTTGCCGGCCTTGGTGGCGTTGTTGCGCTGGGCGTTGATCACGTCGGTGATGGCGGTCTCGACGGCGAACTTGGTGTTGCCGTAAGGGTTGGTGGGGCCCAGAGGGCAGTTCTCGGGGATGGGGATCATGTCGGGGAAGCGGGTGGCATCACCGTAGACGGTGGCGGAGCTGGAGAAGACAATGTTGGTGACATTGTTCTTGACCATTGAGCGCAGGAGGTTAATGGTGCCGTAGACGTTGACCAGGTAGTAGTCCAGGGGCTTCTCGCCAGACTCGCCAACGGCCTAGATTAAGACAATTGGATTAGCTATTGGATCATGCGATACGGGTTATTTTTTGGTGTCTCATAGGATACATACCTTCAGGGCAGCGAAGTGGATAACGCTGTCAATGTCGGGGTGGGCCTCGAACACCTTGTCGAAGCTGCTCTCCTCGGTGACATCGAGCTGGTAGAACTCGGCCTTCTTGCCACAGATAAGCTCAATACGCTTGAGAGCCTCAGGAGAAGAGTTGTACAGGTTGTCAGCAACGACGACCTTGTAACCAGCCTCGAGAAGGGCGAGGGTGGTGAATGAGCCAATGTAGCCCGTGCCACTAGCGGGAGTTAGTTTCCAATATATAATAAGCTAAATAGGGAATTGTCCACTTCCACTTACCCAGCAACAAGAACTGAACCAGCAGACATGATTTAAATTCCGTGATAATTAACAGGAAAGATGGAAAATACGGAGAGGTCCGGAGTAGAAAGCGGACGAGGGGCAGCTTTTAAGGGGAAATTGGAGGTGGGGGGGACCTGGGCCGCCTCCCCACGTGGATATGTGATGATGCGGCCAAGTGGTTTGATGTGTCGTTTTTGTTCTTTTTCATCTCTTTGGTTTAGGATTAATTTCCAAATATCCATTGATCTACACAATTGAACCTCTTAATTTCCTTTTTCTCCCTTCTCCTATTCGAGGTTATTAGGCCATTGTTGATTGTTGATGCGGACAGTACATCGAAGATGTGCTGTGACCGGGAGAGGTGAAAACAGCCCTGAGTCTCGAAACGGGCAAGGATATGCAAGGATGAGCAAGGATGTGCAACGCAAAGAGAAATCACTCGAATCACTTGAATCCCTCGAATCCCTCGAATTCTCCGAAATCCCCTGAAATTCCTAAATTTCCTGCAAACAACGTCTCAACGCCGAATAGGGACATCTGCAAGGGGGACCAGTCCCCGTTCCCGGGGAATTTCAAATGTTTCCACCACATCTTATTTACTGTTTGAATATAGAACGTTGAAGTGA